ANNANNNTTGTTTTTATTATTTAGCTATGTGTAGCTAAATACTTATTTCGGTTCTAGGGACGTTGAACCCTCGATGACTATGTTTGATTAATGCTATTTATTTCGTTTTACTCGTCGTATAAAATTGTTTGTGTTATTCTAGTTTCATGTCATAATGTGTGATTTTTAATTTAGCTTGATCACCTGAGTTAGGAATTGCATGTTAATTGCTAGATTTGAGGCTTCGATCCGTAATTGTCGTCGCTCTTATTTCGTTTGTAGCAACTAACAGTCGTGCATTGTTAGGGATAGCACAACATAAGTTACATGAACCGAGCTTATGTGTTTGTGGCTTAGATCGGTCTATTTTCCTAGATTTTAATGCGGCTGGCGGGTTAAATTAGGAGAGCTTATTCCGAGTTATTCGCTAGTTAGAATTAATTGGAGAGCCTATTTCGATTAAGTATAAATTAAGGGAAAATTCGGGTAGCAGAGCTTATTGCTATCTAGGACCGATAGTTTTAGAAAACGAGTGAAATTTGATAAAAGCATTAATTGGGCTAGTTATTCGAGGGTGTAGACCAACCTGGAACCGATTCCATTCTCATCTTTGCTAGATTATTTTCATTTATTTTCCATTTCATCCTCATTTGCATTTTAATCATTTATTTTTAGTTTTAGTTTATTTCTTGTTTTGATAGTAGTTTCGTAATAAACCAAATCCCCCCCATTTTTATTTTAATCTAATTAATATAATAAAATCACGGTTTATACCACACTCCCTGTGGGATCGACCCTTGCTCGCCACTACTACTAGTTAGTAGGGGTAAGTTAGGAAAAATTATAAATTCAAATTTGCCGTGTAACGACGCGCGGTCACCATCCAAACCCCAGCACCTATATACCATTCACAAAAAAACCAACTTTTTTGTTAAATATCCACCACCTGACTTTAGTGGAATTATCTAGAATTGTTGTGATGTTATAAAATGCGTTAAGGAGAGTGAGTTTATATTCCGGTTTTGATACGTGAAGTATTGTATCTTGGTCCAAATTGTGTTCGTGTAATTACTTTGTTAATCTAATAAAGTAATTACGTTACTGTCCACATGAACCCAACACTACACTTAAAAAAAACCCACCGAACTTCTTCACCTGAGTCGTAATAACAACAATGAGGGACACGAAAAACGAGATGTTCTTCTTGTAGAACACCTTGACAGCTGTCACGACGTGAATGGCGTACACTGTCCCCGCGCCAGAGTTAGCGAATATGGTGATCAAAACATGCTCCTTGACGTTAAACGGGCCTGGGTTGAGACTAAATTCCCATTTCGTCCCCTTGAAGAAAACTCGGGCCGTGATCTTAGCTGCCATGAGCTGGCCCAATGGGACTACGGCTATTTGGGCCGAGATGGCGGTTATGGAGAGCGGCTCCGTACGGTACCAGAAGAACTGATTGAGGAAGGAAAGGAGAATGCATGAGAATGTGCCGAGAAGCCACATACGGAACGTGAGGACCGGGAGAGAGGGATCGTCCGTGATCGAGACCGTGAGGGCCACTTCTCTGATAGGCGAGTTCTCTTCATGTTGATCTTTAGATACTGGAAAAAAGAAAAAGAAAAAAAAAATGTGATCTTTTTAGTCAGATATTCAAGAAAATGTGAGGTAATTGACAAGGATGGACTTTTTCTCAGGCTACAAAAAAGGCAAGAATCAGTTTTTCCTTCATTTTCTTTCAGCTACCATCAAGTTTTTTTTTTTTTAAATTAAGAATTCAAGAATACAAGAGAGAAAAATCTAAACTAATCCCAACACATGTTGATCCTTAGGTACTGGAAAAAGAAATAAAAAAATGAATTTTTTGGTCAGATTTTCAAGAAAATATGTATGAGGTAATTGACAAAGATGGGCTTTTTCAAGCTACAAAAAAGGCAAGAATCAGTTTTTTTCTTCATTTTCTTTCAGTTACCATCATTTTTTTTATTTTTTTTTTTTCAATTAAGAATTCAAGAACACAAGAAAAAGCAGAGGAAAATTCTAAACTAATCCCCCCACACAAGCTAAAATGATACCTATTCTAACGTCTTTTCTTCAGACAGGAAGAACGATATTATTACATCAAATGTTAGATTTGAGAAAATTAAAGACAGATGCATAAAACAGAATTGACCAAGATTATAGGAACTAATTAACAACTAACAAAGTCCTTACTAAGAGGGGCTGTGATTTGGTCTGAAAATCCTTCCATTTGGCTTTTCTTTTCCCGTCTGGAACACACAAATGGGTAAAAAAGAATCTTGATGTTAGAACATGTCAAAAGAATCTTTTTATAAATGGAATTATCATGGGAATATAGAAATTCTGACTGGCAGTTGAATGCCCAAAAAAAATGATGGGTGTGTGTTTTGGTGTTATGAAAGTAGGTGTTGTGAAAATAAATAAATAAAATTATGAAGGTACAAACATGTGCTGACATAAATGAAGGGCTTTTAACAGTATTATTGTACAACAAATTAGCTGGATTCTTTTGAAGATGGGACATGGCCAAAAATATCATGTACCACACATAACTTATAGTATATCACACACCTGTCTATTAAAATTAAAAAATCTAATCATGCCAAGATTCAAGAAGAATCTTGCACAGGTGCATTGGGAAAAATCTCGTTGAATTCTCTCAATTCAAAAAAGAAAACTTTTATAGATGTAGAATTTTTAAGAATCTTGAAATGTCTATAAGAGTTCTTAAAGAAGTATCATCGTATCAGGAATTTTGAGAATGGATTGGTGAAACTGAGGAGATACCGATTTATATATATCTTGATAAAATTTTTGTCAGGCTGCTATTCAAAAAAATAAAAAAAAAAATGAATTAAATTGAAATTATTACAATTTTTTCAATCACAAATATAATGTTAAATATAATTGTGTTTGAACTTTGATTGAGAAGAGTATAATTATGGTGGAAGTATGGCATTTCTGAACAATTTTCAAAGCTACATATTATGAAGGCTGAGGCATTTATTCAACAGCTATAATTGCGACCCCACGGAGAGTAAGGCGTTCTGTAATCAAACTTCATTAATACAAAGTCCCATGTCTAAAATAAGAAATTATTCAATGGTATGTATCAAGTTATACAAATTTATCATTATATTAATTATTTTTAATTCAATAATAAAACATATTTTAAAATAAATGTATACAACCTTGTATAATCTATAAAGTTAGATTTTTTAATAAAAATAACAAAAACAATAAAATTGTAATTTCGCCATTTAAAATAAGAATAATGCTACAAGTAACATAATAAATGTATATAGATGTGTAAATAACACTCACATGGAGTGGGGTCTACCTAATTTTTTATTTAAAAAATGCTACATGTACATAATAAATGTACATAGAGGTGTACATAACACTCACATGGAGTGAGGTCCACTTAATTTTTTAAGTTTGGTAGGTCTCACTCAATGTGAAAGTTATGTACACCCTTATATACAATATTATGTACCTATATCATTTCTCTTTTTATTTTTGGTATGACCCACTCTATCTGAGTGTTATGTATACCTCTATGTACATGATTACGTGTCTATATTATTTTTCTTAAAATAAACTAGACCACTTTATTCAAAACAATGTAATTTAAAAAGTAAAAACTAAAAACACCATTTTTGGAGTGGAATAGTTAATAAAAATAATAGGAACTTATATATCTTACAAGTGAAAAGTATAATTTGAAATAAAAATAATAATATAATTTTAGAAAAAATAAAATATAAAATAAAAACTTTCATTTTTTATATATTAATTTTTTTAATTTTTAAGTTATAAAATTATTAATTAACACTTGTTTATTACATGAGTGTAGTGCAATTAATATTAATTATTGAATCACGAATTAGTATGGTATGAGACAACTTAATTATTCGAGTAGTGAGATAGATTATTGATTTATTATATCACTTAATTGTAGGTGTTTGAGGAGTCGAGCCCTCGACCTACTTATCTGCTACAACTTAATTATTAGTCGGATTCATATGTTATATTTTTTATAAAATATAAACGCACATTCATATTATTATTAAATTTTTTTTATATTATACTTGAATTTTTTAAAAGTATGCGTATTAGTTGAAAAAATATGACTTATTGAAGCATAATTAATTTTATTGAAAACATTCATACAAGCAGATTTGTGACAATTTATATGATTTTTTATACACTACTCCGTATATACATAAGGTAGTCACGATGTACGCAAAGGAAAACTGAGACATCGGAGCTGTAATAAACTACGTCACTGTTTTCTTGATACTTCTAAACCACTGCAAAAACTAATAAAAAAACTCGTGATCTTACAGTTCACAAAATCACCGGCGAAGGTTCTTACAGCCGCCCCACACACTGTCTCCGAATTGTTTGCCGCCGTAATAGACATGAGGGCCTGATCAGGTGAGTCAAAATCGCAATCGAATTTCATCAATTTACAGGCAAAATAGATTCAGAATTTCTTGTTTTTTCTAGGGTTTTAGCTGTTATTTTGTTGTTCTTACTTCTTATGAATCAGAATGCTATCTTTTTTTTTTTATTTCTTTTATTTTCTTGCCCAGAATTTTTATGGGTTCTACTCAATCCTGTCTTAGCGTTCGTTTATTTGAAATCCCTTCAATTTATAGTTTTTCTCTAATCCATGACCATTGCGCTTTGTTGGGCAGATAAGTAAATCCCTAATGATAGTTGGATCATTATATTGACTCTCTTGATCTTGGAATAAAGGTGAAGTCTTTTTGTTGCTGTTTCCATTTGAGTTCTTTAGGGCTATCATTTTTAAAAAATATTACTTATTATAGCATATTGAAAAAATATTACTTATTCTAGTTTTTCTCTAATCCATAGCATATTAATTTTGAAATCCCTTCAATTTATAGTTTTTCTCTAATCCATGACCATTGTGCTTTGTTGGGCAGATAAGTAAAGTAACTCCCTAAAGATAGTTGGATCATTATATTGACTTTCTTGATCTTGAAAAGGTGAAGTCTTTTTGTTGTTGTTTTCGGTTGAGTTCTTTTGGGCTATCATTATTTAAATGTTGCTCATTCTATATTTCTTTTTACGGGCTACATAGGATCGATAAATGGCTGAGATGATCGGTCCAAGATTATACAGTTGCTGCAATTGTAGAAATCATGTTGCCCTTCATGATGATATCATCTCTAAAGCATTTCAGGTCAGCTTTGGCCAATTTGTTCTGTTCTCTCTGTTAAGTTTAGCTGAAGTGTTGGTGGGATTTTGACGAGGGGCTTGAAAGTTGAAACTTACCGTGCCATTTTTTCTTGGTTCAATGTCTTCTAATTCCCAGTGCTTGCTCGGGTTTTGCTAATTCTTAGCAACT